AGTGAGGATATATTCCAATTTGTGACTGTAAACTTCCACTGGCGGTGTCGTTCTCGTGGAGCCTTTTCTGACGTTCTTGAATGGCATCGCGCTGTCTGCCTCATCCGTTCAGGACGGGTAATGACTCCGTGCTGACTGGTATCTTTGTCGTCGTTTCGTCGATCTTCGTCAGTCGTCGTTGTGCTGCTACGCCCTCGCTGGCAGATGACGATGAGCAAGTTCCGATCGAGCAGAACCAACAGCCTGCGCGACTCCCTTGTTAACCTGGGCGATGACTGAGTCGGTATTATTTTCGATGACGTCAATGTCATGAAGGGCGGGTGGCGAACTTTTACGGATACTTCGCCACGGTCTCCAACTCTCCTTCTTTCTCAACCGGGCTTGGGACCGGCAACGCCGGAATTAATGTTAATAACTGATGATAATATTTGATAATGTTATGATTTTTATATCTCAGTGTGAATGCTACGATCAATTTTGCTTTGAATCACTGTTACAGTCAAGTTACGGTTGCTTCAGGTTCCGTTAGGCACGAAGTTCACCCGCGTCGGCGAAGAGAGCTGCTCACAGCTAAACAGTGAAGGGCAGATTTTTATTGCAAGTCGCGGTGGCGCAGGAGGTCACGGCAATCAGTTTTACCTGTCGAACGAAAACCGATTCCCGGTGTATGCTGAGGCTGGAGCTCTGGGCGAAGAGGCGATGTACGACGTTCAGTTGTGCATTCTGGCTGATGCGGGACTGGTATGAGTCAGTTCTTACGTTTGACTGATGGAATAATATGTAAAGGCAGATTCGCCGGCGGATGAATGAAATTGCGACGCTGACAGAGCGCTTTTGAAGTTTTGTATTTAGCAACATAGTTTGTTCTGTCTTTAGGTATTTAGTTCAATTGTAATTGTTGCCCCGTTAACCACTGCCACACAGAAACTATACGCAACGCCTTGCAACTGTATAGGTTTATCGCTGTCGATCAGTATACTTGTTTTTTCTGTTGCGTGGAGCCTCTTTATTTGGCATTGTTCGCTGATTGTCCGTGCCCTATTGAATGGGCGAATTTTGAACTCTCGGTTGCAGCGCCTGGGCGACAGATTTGGAAACATTTGCACCATACCCTTTGAGCAGGCGATGACTCATGATTGACACGAATTGAAGGTCCAAAAGACGATGGATAGGTGATATTAAGAATCTGAATGAAAAGTAGAAAGTGTAATCTGGATGATGAAATTGTGACGTATAGCGAAAAGTGTTACCCATAGTTGTGTATTAGTCGTCGTGATTCTTCTGAAGGGACGGACATTTGCTAGGTTGCCAGCATTGCTGATTCGCGTAGAAAAGAATTTTTGGACTATGCCTTCTCAGCTCATTCGAAGCAATGGGTTTCTTCTACATTCATCAACGTACCATTTCCAATGATTATATAGTCAATATGTGTTTATGCAATAGGTTTAATGATAACTGTAAGGATATTCAGAAGATCTATTCATTAATTCATTTTCAAAGCCTGTTAATCCTTTCGAGTCGTCGAGAGGGGATAGCTGTTTCATGAGGCCTTTCTAGTGATCCTCGGTAGTGGCCAAACAGACAAGTTGATTAGATACATAACACTTTCAGGTCTTATAGATAATCAATTCAGCCTGTTTGCAGTTTGCCCTTAGGCCGGATTCCCTATTTATGTCTTTGTAATGAAAGTTCGCTTTTAGTGCGAGTCTCCTGTGGCATCCTATTTGCATATCCAAGCCGTCAGAATTGTGATGATCTCGATTTGGATAATCTGTATATAATACCTAGTCCCATTACAGCAGCCATCTTTAGAAGAAGCCTCATTTCTAACATTTTTACCCCAAATGACGCTCCTTCAGTCAATATCCAGTACTCGTGACTATAGGTATGAGAAGGTGCGTGTTCAGACTTGACGTCAGAGCTTTGCGTTACTGTTTGGTTACATCGCTGTCAGAATCGACCAGTTTTGCTCGAACATTACAGAGCTTGCGTGGCCGATCCATATGTCTTAAGTCGTAAAGTCCTTGTGCAGTTTTAAGGTATAGAAACTTTTGATGTGCACGTCATAAAAACAACCTGTAGACACAGTTTGCAAGCATGATTCATTGAATTTTTAGTTTTCCACTGTTCAGACATCTGGATATCACATGCCCCTGACGCTGCTCCTTTCAAAGCGATTTTACAGTTATTACAAACATTCTGTAATTTCGTTGAATGACGGTATGAGTTCTGTTTTACCTTAACCATGCCTTCGTTGCATTAATATGGCTCTGATCACTAAATGTATATGGATAGTCAAACAGGAACAGGTCACATGAATGAGGTGGCTAGGCAGTCGGTACACCTTAATCATTCACTTGTCAAAAATTACTGCACATCTGAAGCAAGTATAGTTTCAAAGAATTATCTTCGAAACATGCTGTCAGCGGTTCACCCACGTTTCCTTTGCTGACTAGACAGAAGCTAGGTTGATGGCTTTAAGATTATGTCACTCTCTGTATCGTCATATCCACCAC